CCTTTGCGCCTCTCCTGCTCTGGGGCCCCGTTCACCCCGCAGCTCAGGCGCTGCTGCCTCCCTGGGCGCCTCCGTGGGCCGAACCCGGGCACTGGCCTTCCTTTCTCTCCCCGCGGCGGGCCGGGAAGGGGCCCCGCCATCTCCCAGGCAGGTCCGAGAGGGATGTGTAGATTCATTCTCCTGTGGAGAACAGGTGGCCCCCAAAGCAGGCCCTTTTTGCTCTTTGTATTTTATTTTGAAACTGTATTTAATGCTTTTATATGAAAGGGGAGGGGCGGGGAGAGAGCTGTCCCAGTCACCTTTGCGTGCAAATGTCTTATTTATTATGCGAGTATCAGAGATAAGCTGTGAGGCGGTGGAGAAAGGACTGAACGGAGTGAGGGCAGGGGATGGGGGTCCCACACGTCCCACGCGGTGACTCCCGCGGCCCCAGCGCCTGCTCTTCGCATAGGCCGGTTCTTTGGGTCTGAAGGCCTGAGAGTGGGGAGGCAGCGGCTGCCTCTTGGGCGGGGAACAGCAAGGAGGAAGCCCTTCCCCCACCCCCGCCCCCCAGGCCAGAGCCCAGGGTTCAAGTGCCGCAGGCCCGGTCCCCTCGACTCTTCCTGATTTGGGAATTGGATTTTATACCACGGATTTTATAGCATTTTTATATAATTCAGGATTGTCAGAGTTGGCAAGACCTTGCAGAGTAACTAGTACCCGCCTCCACCCCTTTCACAGATAGGTAAGAGGAAGCCCAGAAACTGAATGATCACAGCCAGCTAGGAACATACAAAAAACAGAATAAAAAACTCCCAATTCAGTTTCTTTGCACTATATGACACTGCCTCCCAATCTCTGGTAAGTCATAAAAACGTTCCCACCTGACGGACCAGGATGGCCCGCGCTGGTGCTGCAGGCCGCCCCGGGCAGTTAGCTGTGACCTGGGGGCGCGAAGAAGGCACCCGTCCCTGGAATGACTAAGGCAGGCCTTGCCACGCAGGCTCAGCGGGAGGTGTGGGCAGCAGCCCTCTCCAGAACCTAAGTGAGTGTGACTGCTGCCTGGCCCAAGGCCTCCCGGTCCTCCCCTTAGTTGTGTGTGTGGGTGGTGTAGCCTCGGGGACACGGCCTCGCAGTTGACTGGAAAGTGAGTTACTAGTGTGTGCACCCCCAGGGTTTTTGAGGCAGTATTACAAGCTTGAGACCAGGGATTATGGATGGCACCAGGCTGGGCACTGCCATTTTTATTCTCCTTCACACAAGCTGTTCTCAAATCTAGAATTAGTATTCTACCACTTTTGCTACTCTGCCTGTTCAGAAACAGTAGGCATATTGGGGCAGCCTGTTCTATTCACCCAAGCCCACTGCCGAAGTTCAGGTAAGCCAGGGCAGAGCACGGGTTAGGCATGGTGTTTCCTCCTGATGGAGCGGAAGGCGTCATGGCAGCCCCAAGCACTCCAGTGGTTCTCCAAGTAGCCCCCAGACCAGCATTGTATTGGAACTAACAGAAACGGAAACGAGGAGGCCCCACCTGACTGCATCAGACACTGGGTGGGGCCCAGCAATCTTTTCAGATGAGCCCTTCAATGATCACAAATGGAGCCCACTTCAACGCTGAGCACCAGCGGTCTAGGAAGGGCCAGGGGGCGACTCCTGCTTTGGCTGGAGCTATGGCCTCACTGCCCAGGGCTCAGGGCGTCCTCATCTCTAGGTGTATGCCTCCTTGCCTCGGGAGTCTGACGTGAACAGGTGACGTTGCTTCATGAACTTTTTGTTAATGGTATGCTTGCTATTATGGCCAATATGTAAATGTTACTCTGAATACATATTTATGTACCATGTTAGTGACATTATTCGAACATTTGTATGCGTATTTGTCAAGTTTGCATCAGTTACTATTTTTTTAAGTTTCAGCCTAAGTTTTGTAAGGTATGTTGAGTAAATTTTAAAAACCCAGCGTACGGGGCGGGGCAGCCTGAGTTTTGGAGGAGAGTGCGTCCCAGGTGACAAGTTGTTTCAGCAAAGACCCGGCGTATTTAGTTTCCGTTTTCCATGGCGACTGAGGGCATGGGCCGTGTGTGACCTGGAAGCTGCTTCCTGTGTTCTGGGCGGGGACCCTCAGTTGGTGTGAGACTGAACGGGGGACGCAGACCCCGCTGGCCCCTTACACTCCTCATCTTGCTCCCGAGGCTCACCTCTGAGAGGGGCTCCTACTTCCTTTCAGAAACCAAATGCACGTCCTTGCTGTACTGTGGAAGTTCTGCAGTCTTGGGCATCAATACTGGTATCAACTGTTAGTTGCTTTTAAAGCCGCAAAAGTGGAGTGGGGGTGGGGGCCAGTGGAAGCCTTGTTTGGTTCTTTATTCAAACTGTGTATAAAGAATAAAGTTAGCAGAATGACACCAGACTTTTTCTTTTTAATTTTTATTAATACCACATCACTTTAAAGTTTTACAGGAACCAAGATTCAAGCTCCTTAGGTGCTACTATGTTTTAATGGTGCACGCACACACACGCACAATTTCATTAATTTTTCATCTATGGGTTTTTCTTTAAAAAAAAATTCCTGTGTGGCACAAAGATCTGCCCAATTATCTAAACACAGCACTAACAGAATAAAAGAGCTAGGGTGCAGGCTTCCAGTGCAGACAAAGTCCTTGGGAGGGGAAGCCCAAAAAGATCACCAGTGCACTGACTTCCTGGGAGGGCCAAGGACGGGGCTGGAGAATGCATGTTCTATGCCATGACATGAAATCGGTTGAAAATTTCAAAAGGAAAGGGGGCTAAGAAATAGAATGGAATAAGGCAAGGATACCATTTACCCATCTAAATTCCTAAGTAATTTCCCCCAAAAGTAGAAAGACACTTTCCTTCTGCCACCTTCTACACTGCAGTGCTTTGGGGCCATCAAAGATCATGGCCCCTACTTTGAAGTCACCGTGCATATTCTCTCTGGATTAGCATGAGTTACACCTGAAGGAACTCACCGGTGCCTTTCACGTTTACTGAATTTTCATGCTGGAAGGGGAGGAAGACAGTCTCAAACGGGAATCCAAGGTCCCCCATCGCCCTTCCATGTGAGCTGTTTTGTTGTCTTAATTGTGCACAGAGCCCATCAACACCATCTGACCCTGCCGGCGGCCCTGACCTGGCTTCTGGAACACACTCAGAAGGAGCACTGTGGGCCATGGCACAGGTGCTAGGACATTCTATGCGCCCGAAGAGGAAAGGAACCCTCAAAACATCACAGGCAGCAGCCAGCCTCTGTCCAAACTGCCTATGACCCACAAAAAAAAACTCAGCTACAGACACACCGGCTCCTCCCAAGCCGGCGGGCTGGGCCCTCAGGGTAAAATCTGAGCACAGGTTAGAGATGTGGCCTGTGAGGGGGAGGCTGAGGGAAAAGATAAAGACAAGCCTTTGTTTCTGTGGTTTGCCTCTGGAGAACGTCCCCTCCGCGGACTGAGATAGGATCACAACAACTCAACAACCGAGGAGCCCACATGCAGGGTTTTCCTCTAACAGGTTTACAGCAGTTTACAGCAGTTACAGACATTTGTTTCAGAATAAGAAAAGTACAACCATATTTATTAAACTTAAGGTGAGGTGGATAGGGAAGAGGGAGGAAAGCACATTCAGGAATACGCTCCCAAACTAAAGCTTGGAACTAGTGTCCAAGAGACCCACACACCACCTTCCCCATGGCGGAGCCGCTCCTCCCAGGGTCGGCGGGAGGGAGCGGTGCTCACGGCAGAGCTCCCGTAGGCTCCCGCTCCAACCCCACCCGCTGGGCTGTTTCCCTTCTTGGCTATCAGCTGGCATTCTGGTAACCAGGAATTATTACTATCGCCTATAAGTTATTCAGAGGTGAAAGTTTTATCTATAAGTGAAGAAGAGGAATATGAAGAGTAGCTGCTCACATTGTGCGGCAGGAAAAGGGGGTCAAGGGCTGCAAAAAACCCCACAAGCTCGTGGGCAGGAATCCCACTCTTATCCCCAGATAATTTCTTAAGTTAACCATTATTTCTTAACTTAGAAATAAAGGAAAAATTATGAGGGCAGCTATGTAAGAAAATTACATAGCTTTGGAAACTAAATAGAACCCAAGAGGGGTGTTTTATATTTTCTCCTTTACCCTCCAATCTTTCCCCTTTCAAGCTACATCACCATTAAGGCTCCACCATCATTAAGGTATTGATTTTGCCTATTCAATTGATTCTGTCTTTATTCTTTTATGTTTTAAGATATCAGTCCATTTTTTAGTCCAATAATTCTTGTGCTTGATTCTGCAGGTAAAGGAAAGGAGGGGGAAACACCAAATTAAAAAAAAAAAAAAGCTTGGAATGCAGGCTCAAGCTGACACTGAGCACTTTCCTTCATAGTACAAGTCACAACAGTATAACTATTAAATGTTTTAGTAACTGTGGCATTTCTGGTTTCCATGTACTTATTCTGCCTTTTTCTTTGCGATTCCAGGTAGTTTTGCTTGGATCCTATTGAGGGGAGGAAGAAAAGGTGAAAGTAGCCATTAGTTCTAGGTTTTATTTTAACAGTGATGCTGGCGGGCAGTCCTAGACTCGCTGGACAGTGTGAAAACCGCTCCCATTTCCGGAGGCTTCCTTTGGATGAAGAGTCTGGTGTGAGTCAAGGTGAGGGGTCTGCCAAGATCCATTTCCTGCCGCTGCCCCTAAGCCTGCTGCCTGCTGCCTCTTTCACTGCCAGGACCTCCTGGGTCCTTCACGGGGGT